CCCGGGTGGGGGAGGTTCGGCGGCGCCAATTCAAAACACTTTGGCCGCCCCTTTCCGGCCCCGGCCCCAAAGAAGGGTTGGGGGCCCCCCACCCCGCCGTTTAACCATTGGGGGGCCCCCCAGTTTTTTTTTTCCCGGGTCCGCCCTTTGCTTTGCACTGGGGGCCCCCCGGATTTTTGCCCCCCCCTTGGCGGGGGGGGGGGGGGCCCTTTCCCCAAAAATTTACACAAGCCCTTGTTGCCCCCCCCGCCCCTCCAGGGGGGCCCCCTCCCTTAAAAAACCCTTTCCCCCCCCCGGGCCCCCCCCCCCCCCCCCCCCGCCGCCGCCGGCCCCTTCTCCAGCGACCACAAGCAGCCGAGCGCGGCGGCGTGCTGCGCCGCCTGCGAGGAGCAGCGCGCAAGGGCGCGCGTGGAGGGGCGCAGCGGGTGCAACGTCTGGGTGTGGTGCGGTAGCGCGCAGTGCGGGAAGCAGCGACACGAGTGCTGGCTCAAGCGCGCTGACGGGCGCCGGGCCCTAGAAGCGGAATACGCGCTCTTGTATTCCAACCAGCGCTCGAGAGGACGCGTCTTCAGCCGCATTCAGCCGTATTCAGCCGTATTCACTGTCTTTGCACCCCTCGTACTCACGCGGTGCTCTGAAGACGCTGCACAAGACCGTTTCCCCGCCCCGAGGTTGGCGTGTTCAGCGTGTTAGGCTCTGGGCCGTCGTCCCGGCCGCTGACGGCAACGGCGTCAAGTCCAAGGCAAACCTCCTTGGCCAGACGCGCGGATGGCCCGAGATCGCTCGCAGTCACCCGAGGCTGGCCGAGACTAGGTCGACATCCTTGTCGGCACTTCCGACCGCTGGACAGCAGGAAGCGAGACCGCCGCGCCGCCGGACCACCCCAGCGGCGCAGGCCTCGCGTTGCCTGTGGGCGCAGAGGCGCACTTCGCCCTCGTCTTCGCCAACCCGGCGCTCGGGCGCGTGCGTGTGCGGCTGCGCACCGCGGGCGCGCCGCGCGCCAGCGGCAGGCTGCGCGCGATGCTCGACGCGGGGGCGGCCGCGTGCGGCGGTGGGCGCTGTGCGCTCAGCCGAGTGGCGGCGGAGCCTGAGGGGTGGGGCGACGAGTCGAGGCCCGACGGCGTGTGTCCCCAGCACCCTCTCCCCTCCCCTCTCGCC